CCTAACACAGAGATGCAAACACAGGGGTCACTATCACGGTACCACTGCTTAAATCAGCTCGAGGGGGTAGGGTCTGTGAAGTACAAAACAGTCAATGACAAAAAAAAATAGTTTAAGTACAATGCCCATTGATCCTTGATTTCCACATTTCATTTACTCACATATTGAAGTATCTATAAATTATTCATAATGGATCTATTTTTCTCTTAACAAAATGAACAACAGCAAATTTGAGACAAATCCATAATACTGTGACTCTTAATTATCAGTATTGATATAATATTTAGTCAAAGATATAGTGGGGAGCCACTTTTTCCCGACTGAGTTTCAGTATTTTCACTTTTATTAATAGTATTTCTTGCCTCGCCACCTGTTTATAGTTAGACAAGTTTCACCCTTTGTACTTATTATTTCTTTACCTTTTTCTTTACCTATTATTTACATTTCTTTACTGGTTCTAAAATTAATCTCTTAATAATAATAAAGAAAGAAAGTGAAGTCGCTCAGTCAAGTCCAACTCTTTGCGACCCCGTGGACTGTAGCCTGCCAGGCTCCTCTGTCCATGGGATTCTCCAGGCAAGAATACTGGAGTGGGTTGCCATTTCCTTCTTCAGTGGATCTTCCCACCCCAGGGATCCAACCCGGTCTCCCACATTGCAGGCAGACGCTTTATCCTCTGAGCCACCAGGGGAGCATATAAATTGATGAATACAATAGCTGTACTGGGTATATTTCAGCATCTATCTCTAGGATGAACTAAAAGAAATACACTAGGTTTTTGCTGGACCTCAGTATCAGGACATATATTATTCATTATATAGACTCATCTGTTACCAGTCATCATCACTAGCCCAAGAAAACCCTTTTATTTTTCATTCTCATAAACATTTGGGTTTATTTATAAATTTGCTACTTTCATTTGCTACACACAAATGAAAAGTAAACTAAAATATCCTCAACATTTATCTCAAAAATCTTTTCCAGAGACTAACTCTGTTTCCAAAACTGACCTCAAAGATATGTTTATAGATTAATAAAGATAATACTTCATGTCAATCTGATACTTAACATGGAATTCTCCCTTCTTTGATTGTTTGAGCAAGCTCCGGGAGTTGGTGATGGACAGGGAAGCCTGGCAAGCTGCAGTGATGGGGTCATGAAGAGTGGAAAACAACTGAGCGACTGAACTACAACTATCCATAAACAAACCACTCAGACTAAAACGTTGGCTGTTACTTACATGGTCTTAACATACCTACAACACGAAACCGGAGAGTGTGTAACCGTGGAAGATGCTTCCATCCACCTAAGTGCACACATTCTGAGGAGTATAAGGCGAAGGAGATGATAATAAAATCAGGCACTCTTTCCATCATCTGTCTACAGAATATCGTCTCTGCTGTGAATGGACAAGCTTAATCCAACATTGGACCACAGAGTTCCAGACACTCTTTCATTGTATACGATTCATGTTGATGAGGATTCAACATCAGTCCCCCTTTTTCTGCACATATTTCTATATCTTTATTTTGGTTAAATAAAAATCTACTAATAAATTTAGCAAAAACAATTCAAAAATTAAAGCAAAAAGAGCCCAGGTGTCCACTGAAGCGTTATTACTTTAATGTATCTTTTCCTCAATAATACACTGTTTTCCATATATACATTCATCAATACAATAGCTCATATATCCATATTCAACACTCCGATGCAGCTGCCTTCTTTACTTATATTCAAAATTTCTTTACTTATATTCAACAATAATACAGTAAATTACTTCAATTAAAAAAAAAACAGAGAACTTCAAATATTACTGACATTAATCTCCACCTTCCCATTACACAGAGGCAACCCCAGAGCTTCTGTCCATGGAAGATGCTAAATTATCTGTACTGGCTTCTTTCTGAGGAGAACAGAACACAGATGATAATAAAAATATTGATACCTAATAACCAGTGGTTCTTGTTTTCTATACTTCATTTACTCAGTATTTAGGAATGTACTACTTTTCCTTTCTGTTCACATTCTTTTAGTCTTGTTAAAAGAAAAAAACTCAATCTTTAGTCTGAAGCAAAACTACCAAACTGTCTCTTGTGCATTTCTAGGTCTTCCCTGGTGCCTCAGTCGGTAACCCAGGTTCAACCCCTGGCTCAGGAAGATGCCCTGGGGAAAGAAATGGCAACCCATTGAAGTATTCTTGCCTGGAGAATCCCTTGGACAGAAAAGCCTGGTTGGCTACAGTCTATGGGGTCACAAAGAGTCGGACATGACTGAGTGACTAACATTTTCACTTTCATGCATTTCTGTCTAATCTTGGTCAAAGATGTGTTTACTATCGTATCTTTTGTCTCACTCAATATGTTCCTATTTGGACAGTGCTTCAATTTGTTGCCTTGTGTTTATTTACATTTGCTTAATGGTTCCTCAGAGATCCACTAATGGTAACAAATTTAAGTCTATGAAATGAAAAGAAGAATACAGCCTACTTATATTCCTAATATATCTCTATAGAAACAATTTCACCAGAAGGAAGAGACTACTGATGTTCTGGGTTGGACCTCAGACTCTGAGACATGTTTTCGCCATTTAGGACTCTTCCCATCATGGTCATCACCACTGGTCCATGATTAAGTCTCTTTTCTTTGTTCATTTCTTCATATGTTTCCATTAAATCGTTGAATAAGTGATAATGTATGTTAATCATTGAATAAATGATAATAAAAGTACATAACAATGGTTGTTGTGTTGTGTTAGTCACTCTGTTGTGTCTGACTCTTTACAACCCCATGGACTGCAGTCCACCAGGCTCCTCTGTCCATGGGATTCTCCAGGTAAGAATACTGGAGAGGGTTGCCATTTCCTTCTCTATTTAGCCACACTAATAATTTAATAATAATAAAAACAATAATTGTGATAATAAAAATAAGTATCCCAAGAATGAGACCCTTCAATACCCCTAACCTCAGTTTACAGGATCAGTTATCATTAGGAGTCTTTCTCTACCAATTTTTGACCTCTATTCTGCCTATTATCAATTATTTGAAATAATCATTCTTGATTATTTATCATTGAGCTATGGTTAATTTTTGGATTAGCTTAACACTGTTTGACAATACCATGAGGACCCTCAGACAAACCACCCAATCTAAGACAACAACCTTGTCCCTGTTCGCCTTTTTCCTCCCTGTCACAGCTGGTGTGACAGCTGAGCCAACAAAAGCTGAACATCCGACCCACAAAATAACAAACACACAACGTGGTAAAACGCCTTAGATATTCTTTCCATTGATCCAAGAATCTGACTATTCGTTTGCAGAGTAACTGAAGCATTCACTAAATTATGCTCACATTCGTTTTTCCCCTTAATAAATCAAATGTCAAACTTGTAACTGACTCAGCCAGTAACTAACACCTGTCACTGTCTATATCACCCTAAGCCAAACAGGTAATACCCTCATAACATATCTTTCCTATTGATTATCAATGTCTTTTCAATATATATATAATAGTAATTTTTGCCTAACCACGTATTTTTATAATTGAAAAGGCTACATATTCATCACTTTTTATTTTATACACTTGTATATTGATTATTTCAATAATCCACTTATAAAAATAGAAAAAAATGCATGGTGATAATAACCAAAACAAAGGTCTTTGTATATTCCTAACCACTGCCTAAAAGGTCAATTCACACAGGTCACTGGACTTGATTTCATTTGCATCAAACCTCAGAGCGCCAGACTCATATTCATCACACACAACTCATAGGCCTCAGGGAGTCACCATCAAGCCAATACTGTCCACCTTATTCAAATACATTTCTGTTTAATTTATGAATCACAAATTCACTAATAATTTTATCAGCACGATTTTAAAAAAGATGATATATACAGAATTATTCTTACTTTAACACTTTAATACAAGAATATGATCTCTCTATATTCCTGACGTCTCACAAAAGAAACAGTTTCTCATTCGAGGGAAAACATTACTTATTTCTGTATCGTAGACCTCAGAGATCTAGCCACGTTTTCACCGTTTAGGACTCTTCCCGAAACGACCATCATCATTGGTCCACAGCTGAGACTCCACTCTTTGTTCAATTCTGTTTATTGACTAACTCAGTAATTTATTAGTAATAATTTTTAAATCCTATTATTTACAAAACTCTAGAAAAGTCATGATATTCCTAAGGTGTAAATAGTTCATTCTTACAACAATGTATCTCTTTTAAATTAGATACTGTTTTTCACTTTGGCAGTAATCAATTAATGTGTCATAAATTTCAATAGTTATCACTGAGCTAGACTTGGCCTTCTGTTATTCCATATGGAACATTCAGCCAATACACTGAATATACACATACACACTCACACAAACCAACAAAAAGAAATGAACAAAACCGAGACAAAAAGTTGATTATTACTCACATTGGTCTCTGTGGACCTAACACAGAGGTGCAGTCATAAGGGACACCACCATGGAATAATGCTTAATCAGCATCAATGTGTCCATTTTTGAACAATGCAAAGCACAGTCGATGAGAAAGGGGGGAAAAACATATAGCCATTCATCTTACATTCTACATTTCATTTATCCAATCACTGAGAAATGTACAGCTTTTCCATAATGTACAGATTGTTTTCTCTAGACAGAAAGAACATCCTCATAATCTCAGATCAATAAAATTGACTCCCAATATTTCAGATCTATCTGAATCAACCTAGACAGCATATTAAAAAGCAGAGACTTACATTGCTGATAAAGGTCCACCTAGTCAAAGCTATGGTTTTTCCATTGGTCATGGATGGATGTGAGAATTGGACCATAAAGAAAGCTGAGTGACAAACAATTGATGCTTTTGAACTGTGGTGTTAGAGAAGACTCGAGACCCACTTGGACTGCAAGGAGATGCAACCAGTCCATCCTAAAGGAAATCAGTCCTGGGTGTTCATTGGAAGGGCTGATGCTGAAGCTGAAGCTCCAATAATTGGCCATCTGATGCGAAGAACTGACTCATTGGAAAAGACCCTGATGCTGGGAAAGATTGAAGGCAGAAGGAGAAGGGTCAACAGAGGATGAGATGGCTGGATGGCATCACCAACTTAATGGACATGAGTTTGAGTCAACTCCGGGAGTTGGTGATAGACAGGGAGACCTGGCGTGCTGCAGTCCATGGGGTTGCAAAGTTGGACACAACTGAGCAACTGAACTGAACTGAATCTTAGCCAAAGGGGTGACATAATTCACTCATAATGGTCATCAGAGTTGGGAATTTTTATTATTATTTATTTCCTCACGATCTATGTTCATAATTAGACAATAATATACCTGTTCTTCATCTTTTATCTGTATCTTTAATGGTACTCTCAATGATCTATTAATAATTTTAAAACTCAGTCTTAGAACTTGAACTTTAAACATTCCTAACATATGTGTGCAGGGAAAAATAAACAAAGAAATGGAGTGTGGAATGTACTGGGCCTCAAGGTTACAGACCTGTCCATGACTCATCTGCTAACCATCACTGGTACATCTGAGACCCAGTTTTAATTCATTCATCTATCTATTTATTTCAATTAAATCCTCATTCATTGAAAATAATACATGATTAGTAGAAAAACAAAGAACAAGACACTTGAATACCCCTACTTCTAATTAACATCAAGATAGATTATACCTTTCACTAATAAATATCACTGCTATATCTTATCAGTTAATCAATATAAGGTTATACATCATACATATTATTGGACCACATTAATCTTTTGCTTCTATCTATTGCTTTTGAGAATACAATAAAAACACTAAAAACAAGTCCCCAAACCAGACCAGAACCCTGGCCTTTACTCACCTGCTTCTCTGTACCATAGCAACCTGAAGCTCATGACCTTCATCACCATGGAGGCTAAAGTCACCTTGAGCTTCTATTCTGAAAAGTAACAAGCAGAGAAAGTGATCCCAGACATGGAAACAATGGAGAGAACTCCATTGACCTGCAGGCATGTTTATTGATGTTTTTAATGGTTCATTTACCATAACCAATGAAAATGCATGAAGAGAAAGACTACATTTCTCTCATATTGGACCTCAGAGTTCCAGACACATATTATTCATCATCAATGACTCATATGCTGGTATTGATCATCACTGATCCACAAACGATGACTTCCTCTTCATTCGATATTGGCTCTTTGCTACTCCATGGACTGCAGCACACCAGGCATCCCTGTCAATCACCAACTCCCAGAGCCTACTCAAACTCATGTCCATCGAGTCGGTGATGCCATCCAACCATCTCATCCTCTGTCATCCCCTTCTCCTCCTGCCTTCAATCTTTTCCAGCACCAGAGTCTTTTCCAAAGAGTCGGTTCTTTGCATCAGGTGGCCAAAGTATTGGAGCTTCAGCTTCAGCATCAGTCTTACAATGAATATTCAGGACTGATTTCCTTTAGGATGGACTGGATCTAGGTTGGATCTCCTCACAGTCCAAGAGACTCTCATCATTATAACTCTCTTAAATTTATTATCAGCTTTTAGCTTCCTATCAGCTCCTTGGTATCACCGGCTCAATGGACATGACTTTGAGCAAGTTCCAGGAGTTGGGGATGGACAGGGAAGCCTGGCATGCTGCAGTCCATGGGGTTGCAAAGAGTCAGACATGACTGAGTGACTGAACTGAACTCTTTGGGATAAAAGTCACCTTCTTTCATTTTTTGTCACCCATGTGATTAGTGCAGTCATTATTTTTAGAGATACCATCCAACCCCAGACTAGGAATGAGATGATGTCCACATAAGTCTCCTGGCTCCTACAACAAAGATGCCATCCTAGGCTGATGCTCCAGAAGGAATCCTTCCTTCAGGTTCCATGCATCCACTCTGAGGGATATAAAGCAAACTGGACCATCAGTGTGATAGAGACACTCTCCACTGCTTCTTGTTTCCACACTCACAGTGTTATTCAGGCAATCCTTAACTTAGGGTACATAGGAAACTTGACAATGAACCATGTGGATATTACGACTGAACCAGAATATAAAGGTTAACTAGGAGCTTCACAGGCTTCCCTTGTAGCTAAGCTGGTAAAGAACTGCCTACTGTGAGGGAGACCTGGGTTCAATCCCTGAGTTGGGAAGATGCCCTGGAGAAGGGAAAGGCTACTCACTCCAGTATCCTGGCCAGGAGAATTCCATGGACTGTATAGTCCATGGGGTCACAGAATTGACACGACTAGGAGCTTCCCAGGCGGCAAAGTGGTAAAGAATCCACTTGCTCGTGTGGGAGACGCAAGAGATGTGGGTTCAATCCCTGGGGTCAGGAAGATCCCCCAGAGTAGGAAATGGTAAACCATTCCAGTATTCTGCCTGGAAAATTCCACGGGAAGAAGAGCCTGACAGGTTTTGGTCCATGAGGTCTGAGCATACACCTCTCTGATCATTTATTCTGTCCCCCTCAACCTTAAGCTAAGTGGTAACAGCTGTGTGCCATTCATTAGTAATTGAAATTCAGGGTGTCCTTGGTATATTAACAGTATTTCATGGCTCACCACGTATTTCAGTAATTGGAAATTGCTTCATTTCATCCATCTTTATTTTTAATTATATATTTATGGATTCTCTCATTTCCCAATTATAATAATACAATGAAAATTCATGAACACAAAGACCACAGATAAGACCCTCATTTATTCCTGACATCTCTCTATAGGCTGCCTTCTCAAGTTGAGAATGGACGAAATTACCTTAATACTGCATCACTCATGGATCCAACATTGTTCCTATTTTCCTACATTTATTTCTACTTGTATTGATTAAATAAAAATTCAAAAAAAAGTCTTAATATATATACAATAATTCTTACTTAAATATATATCTCTCTTTAATAGATTGTTCTTCACTTATGCTTTAATCAATATAGTGGTTTGTATATATCAATGCTCAACACTGAAACGCAGCTGCCTTCTTTATTTTTATTCTGTATTTCTTAATAATATAGCAAATTAATTTAATAAAATAACAGAGACCTTCAACTATCTCTCACATTAATCTCCATGCTCTTATTATACAGAGGAAACTACATGGAAGACGCTAAATCATCTAAACTGCCTTCATTCTAAACAGTACAGAACACAGCTGATAAAAACATTGAGACCTAATAACCACTGATCCTTGTTTTCTACATTTTATGTACTTAGTATTTAGCTATTTATTACTTTTCTTTTGCTATATATTTTTTATCTTGTTGAAAGGAAAAATTCTATAGTCAGAGGCAGAACAATTAAACAATTAAACTGCCTCATCCATTTCTATCTAACCTTGGTCAATGAGGTGACCCTCAACCATTTATTTTATAGGACTTAGGGACTTCAATGTTCATTATAGTATCTTTTGCCTCACTCGCTATGTTCATCTTTGGACAAAGCTTTACCTTAGTTTTCTTTATGTATATTTACATTTGCTTAATGGTTCCATCACAGATCTACTGATTATAACAAATCAAAGTCTACAAAATCAATGAAAGAATATAATCTACTTATATTCCTGATATCTCACTAAATAGAAACAATTTCACCAGAAGAAAGACACTATCAATGTTCTGGATTGGACCTCAGAGTTTCAAACATAGTTTTCATTGTTTAGGACTCTTACCATCACAAACATCACTGGTCCAACACTGAGTCTCTTTTCTTCCTTATTTCTGTATGTGTATTGATTAAATCATTGCTTCATTGGCATTAATAAACATAATATATGATTCACTAAACATCCCAAGAACAAAACCCTTGAATATCCATAACCTTAGTTTACAGAATCATTTCCCAAAAAGGCCCCTTCTCTTCTAATTTTGGACCTCAATCCTGGCCATTACCAATTATTCAAAATAATCTTTCTTATCATATTTACACTGAACTATGAGTAACTTTTTGATTAACTGAATACTTTTTTAATAACACCGTAAAGATCCTCAGACAAATCACCCAATCCAAGACAACAACCTTGACAAATATTCACCTTAAGTTCCTTCCTGACACACAGGTGGTGTGACCAGCAAGCACAGCAGAAGCTGAGAGAGCAGCAACATCCACCTGCAGAACAATCAGCAGCCAAGGTGATAAAAATGCTGAGCCGTTCTCTCCATTGATCCAAATATCCTGCTAGTTATTTTCATAGTAACCGAGGCATTGACTAACATACAATTAGTAATTGATGAACTCATTGTCAAAGTTGGAACAGACCCAGTCAGTACCTAATACCTGTCACTTTCTCTATCATCCTTGACCAAAGAGATGACACCCTAGTACTACATCTTTCTCAATGGGTATCAGTATTTTCAATATATGTTAATGTATTACTACATCATACTAATTTTTGCCTAACCACATTTTTATAATTGAAAAAGACTTCACATTCATCTTTTTTAAATTTACACATTTTATATTGACTATTTCATGGATTCAATTATAAAAACAGAAAATACATGAAAGAAAAGTCATAACGAACAGAGAGTATATTAAAAAGCAGAAACATTGCATTGCTGACAAAGGTCCATCTAGTCAAAGCTATTATTTTTCCAGTAGTCACATATGGATGTGAGAGTTGGAGTATAAAGAAAGCTGAGCGCCTAAGAATTGATGTTTTTGAACTGTGGTGTTGGAGAAGACTCTTGAGAGTCTCTTGGACTGCAAGGAGATCCAACTAGTCCATCCTAAAGGAAATCAGTCCTGGGTGTTCACTGGAAGGACTGATGCTGAAGCTGAAGCTCCAACACTTGGGCCACCTGATGCAAAGAACTGTCTCACTGGAAAAGATTCTGATGCTGGGAAAGATTGAGGGCAGAAAGAGAAGGGGATGACAGAGGATGAGATGGCTGGATGGTATCACTAGGGACATAAATTTGAGTAGGCTCCGGGAGTTGGTGATGGACAGGGAGGCCTGGCATGCTACAGTCCACATGGTCGCAAAGAGTCAGACATGCCTGAGCGACTGAACTGAACTGAACTGAACTAACATGATTATAAAAACCAAAACAGAGATATTTGTAAACTTCTAATCACTGCCTATAAAGTCATTTCAAATAGAACAACAAGCCTCAGGGCTTCAGACACATATTTACCATACACAACTCATACGCCATGGGTAGTCATCACTGATCCAATATTATCCCTCTTTTTTCTATGTGCACTCTATCTCTTTATTGTATAAGCCACAAATGGACTAATGTCAGCAGTACAATTAAAAAAACAAAAATTGCCTGGATGTACCTAGAATTATTCTTTAATATATATCTCATTAACACTCTCAACTTTCTCTATGGTTCATATATCCATACTCAACACTGAAATGCGGTGCCTTATTATATTCCACATTTATTAATAACACATTGCATTATGTTAATAAAATAACAAACTGAGAAAAATTTCAACTATCACTCACATTAACCTTCATCCTCCTCCTGTTCCGAAGCAATCATAGAGCTCATGTCCATGGAATATGCTAAATCATCTCTACTGCCTTCATTCTGAGGAGTATAGAACAAAGATGAGAAAAATATTCATAACTAATTGCCATTAATCTTTATTTTCCATATTTCATTTAATCAGGTAGTTATATTTTCTCTTTCCCTCAGTATTTTTTATTTTGTTATAAGTGAAATTTCAATTTTTACTTGGAGGCAGAACAACTAAACTACATATGCATTTCTAGCCAATCTGGGTCAAATAGGTAACTCTCACACATTTTTTTGTGGGCATCAGTGTTTCCAATGTGTATAAATATTATCTTTTGTCTCACAAAATTCCAATATGGACAATGCATCATCTTATTTTTCCTTATATATTTATTTTTGTTTGCTTAATGCTTCTACCATCACAAGATCCTTTAATAATAACAAATGTAAGTCTATGAAATCAATACATGAATATACATTTTTACATTCCTGACATTTATCTATTGAAATAACTTCACACAGGGAACTGACGACTTATCTTCTGTGTTGGACCTCAGAGTTTCAGATATGCTTTCACTGTTCAGCACTCTTCTTTTCATGATCATCACTGGCCCATGACCGAGCCCCCTTTTTGCTGTTTATTTCTATTTGTTCACTGACTAATCTATTTATTCACTAATCATTCTCCCAGCAGTGTACTCATTTTAAATTTTTATCATTCACTAATATTTTTATATTGAATATATGTTGATTTATTGGAGTATAATGGGTCTACAATATTGTGTTAGTTTCAACTGTATGGCAAAGTGAATCAACGATATGTATCCATACACTGCCTCTTTTTTTAATTTCCGTCCGATGTAGGTCAGGGAGCATTGAGTGGAGTTCGCTGTGCTATATGGTAAGTTCTCATTATTTATATGTAGCACCAGTAGAGTATATATGTCAGTCCCAATAAATAGTATGCTGTTATTCACCTATGAGTTAATCAATTCACGTTTCATAAGATTCTATATTTATCACCGAGTTGCATTGTCCTTCAGTTATTGCATATGGGAATTTCAAATAATTCACTGTATACCCAGAGGAAAAAAATCACTGAAACTATGATGAGAAATCTGACCATTGCTGACATTGGACTCTGTGCTTCTGACACAGAGGTACAATCATAAGCTGCCTTACAAGAGACTAAAAGTGTGGGTGTGTCCATTTTGAACAATATAAAGCATGATCAATGAGAAGAAAAGAAAAAAATTTATCACCACTGACTCTTCATGTACTTTTCACTTAACCAGTCATTTAGGAATTTATAACTTTTTTAAAATGCAGACATTGTTTCTTCTTAACAGAAAGAATAACTTTAAATGTGAGACTGACTCAGAACAATAAAGTCAACTCTGAATAGTTCAGGTCTATCTGATACCTGATAGGTGATATCTGATATCTGATAGGTGACACCGTTGAACCATCCATTTCAAAACTGATATCAGTGCTGGCAGTTTGTATTAATATCTCTTGCTTCATCATATATGTTCATAATTAGATAATAATTCACTGTTTTCATTCATCTATTATCTATATATCTTTAATGGTGCTTTCATTGATTATAATAATAATTTTTAAACTCAGTCTAAGAACTTGAACTTTGTACATTCTTAACACCTATGCACAGGAAGAAATAAAGAAAAAGAGTATGGGTTTTGTTGGAGCTCAGAGTACCAGACTCTTCTTTACATCATCCATGGTCAGGCTAACATCATCACTGGTTCATTTGGGCCCACTTTTAGCTCATTTATACCTATATTCATATCAATTAAATCATGACTTCACTGATAATAACAAAATAAATATTTTAGTAACAAAAACCAAAGAGCAAGCCATTAAACATCCCTGACTCTTCTTTAATTAATACCAAAATAGATTGTACCATTCATTAATAAATATCAGTGTTATATATTATCAACTAATCAACATCTGGTCTCAAGTCATATTTATCACTGGGACATAGTTAACCTTTTGCTTATATTTACTACTTTCAAAGAATATTATGAAAACACTTAAACAGCACAAGCCAAGATGAAAATTTTGAGCAGTACTCACCTTGATCTTTCCTGAAAATGATACTGATCACAGTAGAGGCTGAAATCACCTTGAGCTTCTGTTCTGAAAAGTATCAAACAAAGAAGGTGATAACAGAGATTGAAACTTTCTCTCCACTGATCTGCAGACTTGTTTATCGATGCTTTCATTGGCTCAATTATCATGACCAATGAAAATGTTTGAATAGAAAGACACTGCTTTTCTATTGGATCTCAGAGTTTCAGACACGTATTATTCATACCAGTGACTCATACGCCGGCATTAATCATCACTGATCCAGAAAAGAAGACTGGCTCCTCATTCTGTATTGTTAATTGATTAACTCATCGATTCACTAATTACAATTTATAACTCTATGATTCACAAAACGCAACAAAAGACTTGAAACTGCCAATACATTTCTAGAAAAATACACCATTATATCTTTCTCACCTATGATCAGTTTTCACATAGGCAATAATCAGTATAATGCTTCATACTAATCACTTTATTCTCAACAGGATTAAAATGACCCTCTTTAATCATACTTCAAATATATTAGTAATACAGCAAAAACATTAGACAAGCCACTCAACCCAAGACCACAAATTTGATTATGCTCACATGGGTCTCTGGTTCCAACAACAAAGATGCCATCCTAAGCAGGCACTCCATGAAGAATCCTTCCTTCGGGTCTCACGCTCCCACTCGGAGGAATATAAAGCAAAGCAGACCATCACGATGGTGGAGACAATCTCCACTGCTCCTAGCTTCCACATTCACAGTATTATTCAGGCCGTCCTTAACCCAGGATACACACGCTATCTGTCAAAAACTAACCACTGGGATCTCACCACCATGCCAGAATCTGAAATGTCTTTCACTTAAATCCTGTCACCCTCATCCTTTCCCTAAGCAGTATCGGTCATGTACCATTCATTATTAATTGAACTTCAGGATTTCTATAGTACAGTAATAATATTTCTTGTCTCACTACATATTTTGATAATTAGACAGTGTCTTACTCCATTCATCTTTATTTTTAATTAAATGTTTATTTATAGATTCTCATATTATCCAATTATATGGATATATGCAGCCTGGCATGCTGCAGTCCATGGGGTCGCAAAGATTCGGACATGGCTAAGCAACTGAACTGAACTAACTGAACTGATATTCATACTCAACACTGAGATAACAGCTGCCTTCTTTACTTACATCCCACATTCCTAATAGTACTGTGAATCACCTTAATGAAAAAACAAACTGGAAAAAAGAACAACTATTACTCACATTAATCTCCATCATCCTACTATACAGAGGCAAGTACAGAGCTTGTGTCCATGGAAGATGTCAAATCATTCTGCTGCATTCATTCTGGGAAGTACAGAAAATGCAATACAATAAAAATATTGAGAACTAAATTTACTCAATATTTAGGTATTTATAATTTTCTCTTATTCTCTCAGTTTTTTTTTTGTCTCATTAAAAGAAAAAATGCAATAATGAAACTGCCTCTTATTTCTGCATTTCTATCTAATCTTGGTCAAATAAGTGACCCTCAGAAAATGTGTTCAATTTCAACCATGCTTCACCCTATATTTTCCTTATACATTAATTTATATTTACTTAATGGTTCCATCACAGATCCACTAATATATAACAACAAATCTAAGTCCAGAAAATCAATACAAGAATATGGTCTTTGAATAATACAGACCTCTCTCTAGAAAAGCAGTTTTGGAAAGGGAGGAGACTCCAGGGGTTCTGGGTTGGACCTCAGAGTTTCAGACATGTTTTCATCGTTCAGGACTCTACCCGAAACGATCATCATCATTGGTCCGTGACTTAGTCTCTTCTCTTCATTCATTTCTATATTTCTACTGATTAAATCATCAGTTAATTGTTATTAATGAAAATAATATATGATTCAGTAAATCTCCTAGGAATAAGACCTTCATATTCATAATCTCAGTTTACAGAATATTTTCTCATTTAGAGGCTTTCTCTTGCTTTGTTCAACCTCAATCCTGCACACTATTTATTAATTAAAACAATGTTTCTTATCATATTTACCACTGAACTACGGGCAACATTTTTGTTGATTTCATACTTTTTACTAATACCATGAGCACCCTCAAACAAAACACCCAAGTCAAGAGTCTGGCCCATCATTTACCTTAGGGTTTTCCTGACGCAGAGACAGCCGATGACTGAACACGGTGAAGGCTGAAGCAGCAGGAACACCCCTTCTGAAGAATAACAACCAGACAAGGGGATAAAAATATTCAGATATTCTCCCCATTGATCCAATAATCTGTGATTCATTTGCACAGTTACTTAGTCATTTACTAAATGATGATAATATCGACTTCTTTTTCCCTTAATGAATCTAATGTCAAATCGATTAGTGACTCAGTCAGTAACTATTACCTATCATTTTCCACATCACTCTTAACCAAAGAGATAACATCTTTCTAGGACTTTTTTACCTAATGGATATCAATCTTTTCAATATATATTAATGTATTAGTCTATGTTGGTATTATTTCCCAAAACCACATATAGTTATCATTATTTATTTTATAAATTTGCAACTAACTATTTCATTCATCAAATAATAAAAATAGAAAACAAAATGCATGGTCATAATAACCAAAACAAGTATCTTTTCATATTCATAACCTTTGACTATAGGATCACTTCAAACAACACAATGGAATAGATCCCATTTACACTGGATCTCAGAGTTCCAGACATGTATTCATCATACATGACTCATACGCCACGGGTAGTCATCATTGATCCAATATTGACCCTCTTGTTCTACATACATTTCTATTTCTTTATTGTATAAATCATGAATTCACTAATAATTTTAGCAGTGCAATTAAAAACACAGGAGCTTCGGTGTATACAGAATTACTGCTAGTTTAATATATTTCACATTAATAGTCATTTTCCAGTTAGGATTAATCAGTATAATGGTTCATATATACATACTAAACACAGAAATGTAGCTACCTTCTTCACTCATATTCCACATTTCTTAATGATTGAGTGAATTTCTTTAATAAAAAATACTGAAAATGGAACTTCAACTATTACTCACATTAATCTCTATTCTCTTATTATTCAGAGGCAACCACAGATCTGGTGCCCATGACAGATGCTATATCATCTCTAGTGCATTCATTCTGAGGAGCACAAAACACAGAAGGGGATGAAAATATTGAGACCAAATCACCACTTATCCTTACTTGGGGCATTTCATTTATACCATATTTAATTATTCATTATTTATTCTATGTTTATTTCTTAAACTTCTTAAAAGAAGTTTAAGTTTATTCTGAAAAAGAATAAATAAATGGCTATTATATAAGCATGTCTACAGCATTCTGGCCAAAGAAGTGACCCTCTCCAGTTTAAAGGGAGTCACAATTTTGAATTCTTATTCACAATACCTTTTCTTAAAAAAAGATACTCACATGAGAACACTTTCACAAGTTTTCCTTACATGTTTATTTATGTGTTTAATGATTTCATTATAGATTCATTGTTAATAACTACTATAACTATGAAAGTAACAAGAATAGGATCTTTTTGTATACCAGACAACCACATTTTCAACAAAGGACATAGACTACTTATGTTCTGTGTCGGATCTCAGAAAGACACTTCAGAAATGTTTTCATCCTTCAGGACTCTCCCTGGAACGATAAGCATAATTGGTCCATGTGTGTTTCTCTGTTTCTTTTCATTTCTATTTGTTTATTGACTAAACAAGTAATCCATTCATAAACATTTTAAAACTCTACTATTCAAAACACCTAACAAGCCCAGGACATCACTACTGTGTAAATAGTTCAATTTCACAGCAATGTGATTTCAGCATCTTTTTTTAAATTAGATGCTGTTTTTGAATTATATATTAATCAACTAATATTTCATCAAATTCTCTATTTTTCACTGAGCTGTAATTGACTTTTTGTTACTCAGTATGAAAATTTCAAACTGTAACCTTAATACACAGATACACACAAATAACATAAACACAGAAACCAACAAATCCATGATAAACTTGACTAAATTTCTTTCATGTAAAAATAAGCAAACAAACCAAGACAAGAAGTTGGCTATTACTGACAACTGAGCTTTCTATTTCTAACACAGAGATGCAATTGTAAGGCACAAAATCAGGGGGAAAGGCTTAATTAAAATTTTAACACTCTGTACTTCGAAAATACTCAACAAAGCCTCGTTATAGCTAATATATCTCTGCAGAAACTCTCATCTCATATCTGTCTCATATTTATTGTAAGGTTTCACAATGCATTAATCAATAAAAAGTTTCATATTCATTACTTATTTATCAATGATTTGATTATCTGGAGATTATCTGGCCTTATTTGATTATCTGGAGAAGGGAATGGCAACCCACTCCAGTATCTTGCTTGCAAAATTCCATGGACAGAGGAGCCTGGTGGGCTACAGTCCATGGGGTCACAAAGTGTTAGCCACAACTGAGTGACTAACATTATTTGATTATATTTCAAACATCTTATTGGAAAAATAATTACCAATAGAAACCAGCAAAAAGAGTTAAAGAGCAGGTAATGCTCAAAATGGTCTCCTGGCTCCTAAAAAAATGCATTCCAACACAATACCTCAGACTCCATAAAATGTACTCATCACACACAGCTCACATGAAACTAGTGGTCATCAATCCAATGTTATCTTCTTTCACCTCATTTATTTCTATATTATTTATTGAATCAATACTCACCTGGCTCTCTGTCTCGTAGCAACCTGAAGCACACGACCTTGATCATCATGGAGGCTGAAATCACCATGAGCTTCTATTCTGAAAAGTGCCAAGCAGAGAAGGAGAGCACAAAGATAGAAATCTGCCCTTCATGGATGTGTGCTCATGCTTTTTGATACTTTCATTGGCTCAATTACTGAAACCAATGAAAATTCATGAAGAGAAAGACCATATTTCTTTCCTATTGGGCCTCAGAGTTCCAGACACGTATTATTCGTCATCGATGACTCATATGCTGGCATGGATCACCATGGATCCAGAAACCATGACTTTTCATTTGATATTGGTAATCGATTCATGCTTTAATTCACTAATGACAATTCTAACACTATGGGGTTAAAAGGAGGCCAACGAGGTGTCATATGGCTCATAGGTCTCTAGAAATTTTTCACATCTTTCCATGTCTGCCTTACCCCTTACGCCTTACCCCTGCATCACTTCCTTGTTCATCACGAAACTGATAAAAGTGGCCTTCTTTCATTTTCTGTGACCTAAGTTAGCAGTGTGATCTTTACTTTTAGAGAAACCACCTTAGAACAGATGAGGAAGGAGATGATTCTCACATGGGTCTAGGTTCTATGGTCCCAACGGCAAAGACGCCATCCTAGGCTGGTGCTCCATGAGGAATCCCTCCATCAGATCCCAGGCATTCACTCTGAGAAGTGAAAAACACAGCAGATCATCAGGATCGTGGAGACACTCTCCACAGTTCCCTGCGTCCGTTCAGGCTTTCCTTAACTTAGGGTATGTGGGAAGTCTCTTGAAAACAAACCACCTGGATCTTACCGTAGAGCCAGAAGACAAAGGCTGACTATTACTTATCCTGTCCCCGCCATCCTTTCCCTAAGTGCTAACATTATGGCCCACGGCGTCCTCATTGAAATCTGAGGTATCCTTGCTATAGTCATAGTCTGCCTTGTCTCAACCCATCCTTCCAGGATTGGCAGTTCTCTTCTACTTTTCACCTTTATATCTCGTCACGTGTTTAGGAAGCCCTACTCTATTTGTCCATTCTACTCAACAGAAGGCCCCAGCATCCAAACAAGGACCATTAATGAGACCCTCATGAATTCTTGATCTCTGCTACAGTGTCATTCCCATCAGGATAATTGATGGACTTGATTCTATTTGCATTGGACCTCAGAGTTCCAATCACGCATTCATCATTCACAATTCATACGCCACCAGTAGTCACCATCGATCCAATGTTGCTGCTTCTTCTCTTCACTGCTTTCTACATTCTTTAATCATTAATTCCACACATCTCTCCTAGTACACCCCCTTAAATGTGATCATTACTCACACGGGTTTCTACAACCATAAGGTCCATGACCACGGACTACTGACAGTTTATTCAGCTCAAAGGCGTCGATTCCCATGAATAGAGTCCAGTCCATGAAAACAAAAGAAAAAGAGAGAGAAAGAAAAATTTAGGGCCACTGATTCTTCCTCTCCAAATTTCATGTTCTGAATTATGAGGAATTAATACCTATTTCATAATGCAAAGATATTGTTTTCTAGAAATAAAACTATACTCATATCTGAGAGTATACAAACAATACAAGTGACTCTTCCTGTGATACACCTACATGATGCTTTGCCAAGGAGTTGACCTCTTAGGTTCATGTGTTGCTAAATGTGTGTCCACAGAGGCAATTTTTATCATTATTTCTTGCAGGACCGCAAGTGTCCAGAGGAGACACTAACTGACATTTTCTACTCAATCTAGTAGGTATACCCTTTCAAGGGACCTGTCTTTTGATAACAAGAAATCTAACTTCACTAACCCAACATAAGAATATGACTTAGAGATTCCCAATATCTGTCCACAGGAAGAAAGAAAAGTAGACAAGCGAAGATGCACTGTCATGGCCCTCAGGTTTCCAGATGCTCTCGGTTACTTGCCCACCCCTCATCTTCTACCAAGTTCATCTTTGGGTCCCTAAGGCCCAGTTGTAGGTCTTTCATTCATTCGTTTTGATCATATAAATCATCATGTCATCAATACTGATGAAACAAAAGCAGGATGCCCCAAACCCAGCAAAAAGACCATCGAATATCTCAAACTTCTCACCATCAAGGAACCAATGAAAATCCATGAAGAGAAAGACCACATTTTTTCCTATTGGACCTCAGAGTTCCAGACATGTGTTACTCATCGTCAGGGACTCACACACTGGCATGGATCATCATCGATCCAGAAACCATGACTTTCTTGTCCTTCAGTATTGGTAACAGATTCATGCCTTACTCCACTAATGACAGTTTTAATACCGGGGTTATAATGAGGCCTTCATGTGGCTCATAGGTCTCTAGAAATTTTCTTTTATCATTCTATCTCTGTCTCATCTTTGCTCTTGGCTGTTCCCACATATCACTTCCTTATTCATCAAGGAACCTTACGCTTGTTAGTTTCAGAGAAACTACCCGACTACAGACGAGGAATGAGATGATTGATGCCCACAGGGGTCTCCTCGCTCCTATAACAAAGATGGTGTTCTAGGCTGGTCCTCTATAAGGAATCCTTTAACACGTCTCCACTCTGAGGAGTATACAGCAAGGCGCACCATCAATATGCTAGAGACACTCTCCACTGGCCCCTGTTTGCATTCAAGCCGTCCTTCACTCAGGGCACCTGGGAAATCTCGTGAAAATGAATCACTTGGATCTTTCCATGGAGCCACAAGATGATGGCTGCCTATTACTTATCTGGTCTGCTTCATACTTTCCCTACATGCTAACAGTCAGGCCCCATGACTTACTCATTGCAATTGAGGGTGTTTTTGCCATATTCATAGTCTAGTCTATCTTTTCTCAACCCACAGTTCCATGATTGGAAATTGCTTTCTGCCTTTCATCTTTACTTCACTTTAACTCTTTAAGAAGAGCTCTTCAATTTGCCCATTATAGTCAACAGAACATTGTGGCATCAAAACAAGAACCACAAAGAAGCCTTTCCTGTATTTCTGGCCTCTGCCATAGGGTCACATCCAATAGGATAATGGATGGGCTTGATTTTATTCGCATTGGACCTCAGAGCTCCAGACATGTATTCATCATTCACAATTCATACGCCACCAGTAGTCATCATTGATCCAGTGTTATCCCTTCTTCTCTTCACTTATTTCCACATTCTTTACTCATTAATTCCATACATCTCTCCTAAGTATTGAACACCCCCTTAAATGTGATCAATACTCACATGGGTTCCTACAATCATAAGGTGCATGATCACAGAATATTATAGCTTGATCAGCTCAAATTCTTCCATTTTCATTAATAGAAAGCCCAGTCCATGAAAATGAAAGAAAAGGAGAGAGAGAAAGGAAAATTTAGGGTCATTGCCTCTTCCTCATCAAATTTCATGTCCTCAATTATGAGAAATTGATACCTTTTTCATAATGCAGAGATTTTGTTTAGTAGAAACACAATTTCTTCGCAAGAAAGAGACTATATATGTTCCGGGATAGACCTCACAGTCTGAGACCTGTTTCCATAATTCAGGACTCTTCCCGTCACAATCATCATCATTGGTCCATGATTCTCTTCATTTAGTTCATTTCTATTTGATTATTGACTATGTCAATTATTCACTCACAATAATTTTATCATTCATAAAACTCAAAGAGATTCATGAGACCACTAACTGTAAACAGATCATTCTCACAGCAATATACCTGTTTTCAAATTATATGCTGCTATTCATCTATGCATTAAAGTTCTGTATTTATTACTGAGTGGCACTAGCCTTCTGTTACTCTATATCGAACTTTCAAGTTATATACTGAAGACACACAGAGAAGTATAAAAAATCATTGAACCCAAGGCAAGAAAGTTGATTTTACTCACATTGGTCTCTGTGCTTCTAACATAGAGATGCAATGATAAGATGGATCACCAAGAAAAAATGCTTAATCAGCGTGAATGTGTTCATTTTCACCAATATGAAGCACGGCTGAGAGGACAAAAAGAAAAAAATTAATTGCCATTGACTCTGCTTTGCATTTACCCAGTCATTTAGGAATTTATAACTGTTTCATAATATAGAGGTTGTTTTCTTTTAACAGAAAGAACAACTTCCTACTTAAGATTAACTCAGAACAAAGAAATTGATTCCTATGGTTTATCTGATACTTAGGAGAAGAGGTGACACCATTGATCCATCTATTTCATAATGGGCATCAGTGTTGGCAACTTTTATTAATATTTCTTGCTTCACCATAAATGTTCATAATTAGACCACAATTTATCTTTTTTATGATCTATTATTTATGTAACTTTAATTATGCTTTCATTAATCTATAAATAATTTTAAAATTCAATCTCTAAGAACTTGAAATTTCTACATTCTTAATATCTGTCCATAGGATCAGATATATGTGAAAATAGAGGATGTATTGTCTTGGTCCTCAAGCTTCCAGATATATCTTATTCAATGTTTATATCTCATCTTTCACCAATCCTCATTATCAGTTCATTTAAGCCCAATTTTAGCTCATTCCTTTATATGTTTATATCAATTACATCATTACTTCACTGATAGCAACAAAATAAATTCATGATTAACAACACCAAGGAGCAGGGCACTTGAATATCTTTATCTTCTCCCTTATTGTTATCAAAATAGACTATCTCTTTCACTAATGAATATTGATGTTATACAATATCAATTAACCAGTATAAAGTTTCAAGTTAAATTTATCAATGGGCCATAATTTACCTTTTGATCGCATTTATTTTTTTGAAGATTTTTTGATGCAGACCATTTTTAGAGTCATTATTATGTTTCTTTTTATGTTTTGGTATTTTGGTCATGAGGCAGGTGGGATCTTAGCTCTCCAACCAGGTACCAAACCTACAGCCCTGCCTTGGAAGGAGAACTTAACTCCTAACTAGTGGCCCACCAAGGAAGTCCTTGATTGAACTTATTGCAATGAAAACACTTCAGCCAATTCCCCAAACCAGGACGGAAATCTTGGCCACTGCTCACCCAGAGTCTCCATCCCATAGCAACATGAAAATGATAACTTTGATCACAATAAAGGCTTGAACTTTGATTCTGAAAAGTATTAAATAGAGAATGTGATATAAATACTGAGACTTTCTCTTCATTGATTGGCATATTTATTGATTCTCTCATTGATTCAATTCTAATTAAGAATGAAAATGTAAGAGAAAAAAGACATTTCTTTTGTATTAAACCTCAGAGTTCCAGACAAGTATTTATCAGACACAACTCATATACCACCAGTAGTTATCATTGATTCAATGTCATACCTCTTTTAATTCATTATTTCTATATTATTTATTGCTCAATTCATAATTCAGTAATAATAATTTTAAATGGTTTTATTGGAACCACCAAAAAGCTTAAATATCTCATATATAGAACCATTTTCATGTCAATATTTCTTTAATTATTCTGTATTCATTATATGAATTAATCATATAATGCTTCATATTAATCCCATATTTCACACTGGGCTATCTGGATTTCATTGATTGTATTTCACAGTTTGCAATAATAAAGTCAATACCTTTAAACAAAACATTGAAACTAAGACCAAAATTTCTCTATTACTCATATGGCGTCCACAGTCCTAAAACATGAATACAACCAGAGATCTCATGACTGTGGAAGAATGCTTCTACCAGTTTAAGTGTACCCATTCTAAGGAGTACAGAGCAGAAAATATGATAAAACGGAGACCTTATCGCCACTGATCCTTGTTTTCCACCTTTCATTTACTCATTTAGGCATTTATTGATTTTTCATAGTGTAGCATTTTTTTCTCTTAACAAAAGAAACCCTTAAATGTGAAACTGACCCAGAACAATAATGTTGACTCTTACATATCAGTGTCTTTATGACCTTTTCAGTAAGAAGGCAAAATGCCTAGCTTAACGGGCATGAATGTTTTCAATTTTATCAATAATATTTCCTACCTCACCACATATGTTCCTAGTGGACAACGCTTCCCTTTCTTCTTTTTATGTGTTCTTTTACATTTTTAATAGTTTGCATATTGATTATCATTAATATATTTAAATCTGTAAACCCCAAAATGGAATATGATGTTCGTGCTTTCCTAACATCCATCTCTGGGGTCATTTAAAATCAAAGATTGACTAGATTTTGCTTTGTGAGGTATCAGGGTTACACCATAGACTCCCATGCTTCCAGTCCCTCCCATACGGTCCAGGAGGGGCTCTTTTCCCTACTAAAATCTACATTTGTTTATTAATTCATTATTATTTAAATGCACGTAAGTTATGCAAATAAATCATGAGTAAGACCCTTGAATATCTCTGACATCCATCTAAACAATCATTTCCGCTGACACTCAACTCTTTCATTAACTGATCTCAGTGCTTCACATATGGATTAATTGTCATATTGCTTTGCATCAATGGTATTTGACATCAGATTTTTGAAATTTTTATGATATTTAATTTTTAATATCTTTTAAAAATATGGCTTAATCCAAGACAAGTACATTGACTAGTACTCACATTGATCTCCATTGTCCGAACATACAGATGCAATCACAGGGCTCCAGGCCATGGAAGACGCTTAAGTCAGCTCAAGGACATCCATTCTGAGGAGTACATGGCAGAGCAAATGATAAAAAATTCAGAATCCAATCTTCATTGATCCTTGCTTTTGCATTTCATTTTTAGTGATTTAGACAACCATTAATTTAGAATATTCTAATTCATTTTCTCTTAAGAAAATGAAACTTAAAACTTGTCCCTAACAATAAAATGGGCAGTGACTATGATTATTGTCTATATTATTCTTACCCCAAAATTTAACAGTCATGCACTGTTTCTTTCTCTTTGGACTTATTTTCAAATTTATTAACAGTATTTCTTGCACGACCACACAGTTTTTCAACTGGATAAGGATAAATTCATCCAGCTTTATTTACATATTTATAGATTATTTCATTTCTCCAGTTATAACAATAAAGTGAAAATGCATGAATGAACACAGAAAAAAATAAGATTCCTGTATGTTCCTGATTTTGATCTATGGGATCTTTACAAGCAGAGATAACGCATTGGATTTCCTTCTCCCAGACCTCAGAGTTTCAGGCACACATTATTTATCATCTATGATTCAAACCACCAGTCATCATCATTGGTCCAGGACTGGCACAATTTCTCTTTGTTTATTAATGCATTAATTCACACTAATCATACAGTAAATACTCTTAAGTAAATACTCAAACCAACACAAGAACTTTTACTATTACTTACACTGGTCACCATACTTTTAATGAATATAAAGAGGCAACCAAAGGGCTTGGGATCATGGAAGATGGTTAAATCACCTCAAGTGTGTCCAGTCTGTGGAGTACAGAGCATACTAGTTTATAAAAAAAAATTAGGATCTTATCTACATTGATCCTTCCTTTCCACATCACTTACTCCATTTTTTATGTATCTATTAATTTTTCATTACACATACACATTTTTTCTATTAACAAAGAGAACAAACTCAACCTTAGAACTGACCCAGAATAAAACTGACTCTTAATTATCCATGTCTACATAATCCTTAGCCAAAGAAGTAACATATTTGATCCATTTATTTCTCAATGGACTTCAGTATTTTCAAAATTTATTAGTAATATGTCTTGCCTCACCTCATGGTTGAATAATGCTTCATTTTCTCCTTCCTCCTTCTCTAATGATTCTATGATCCATTAACAATAAACCTAAATCTATAAACCTAAGAACATGACGTTTGTGTATTTCTGACAGTTGTCTATAAGATCCTTTCCAAATTAAAGTTTGAACATGTTATTTTGGGAGTTGGATTTCAGTGTTTCAGATACTTCTTTTCATCATCTACAACTCATGCCACCAGTCATCATGACTGTTATGTGGTCCATTTCTAATGTTTGGGTCTTGTTTTCTTCATGGGTATCTATATTTGTATTGATCAAATTATTAATAATTATTAAATTATTGATTTTTTCATAATAAGGAAAAAATAATTCATTACGAAAAAGCCAAGGGTAAGATTTTACAGTCTGTCTATATAATCATTTCCCACATGGACCATATCTCTTCTGTTATTCAGTATCAATGTTGCCAAGTCACTTCTGTCGTGCCTAACTCTGTGCGACCCCATAGACAGCAGCCCACCAGGCTCCCCCGTCCCTGGGATTCTCCAGGCAAGAACACTGGAGTGGGTTGCCTGCCATTTCCTTCTCCAATGCATGAAAGGAAAAGGGAACGTGAAGTCGTTCAGTCATGTCCGACTCTTAGCGACCCCATGGACGGCAGCCCACCAGGCTCCTCCATCCATGGGATTTTCCAGGCGAGAGTACTGGCGTGGGTTGCCATTGCCTTCTCTGCAATATCAATGTTACATGCTATCAATTAATCAACATGTTTTATGGGTATTTATCATTGATAATAGCTAACTTTTTAATTTAAGAATTTTTAATAATACCAAACACACCCTTAAATGAAGACTCAAACCAAGACCAGACTTTTGATCATGACCCACCTTGGCCTCTTTCCTGACAAAGACATTACGATGATCTTCATTGTGGCAGGAGCTGAGGTCCACTCCAGTGTCTGTTCTGAAAAGTACCAAGCATAGAAGGTGATAAAAAAGATTGAGACATTCTAATCATTAATCCATACTTTCTATCATTCATATATATAGTAATTTAGGTATTTATTAATTTATAGTAATATTTATTATTTTTCTCTTAATCAATCAGATATTAACTTTACTCTCCTATTGATTCTATTACAAAAATATTTTAAAAATCTGTGACCACAAGTCGAAAAACAGATCCTTGCGTATACGTTAGAAATGTCTAAAGCAACGTCTTCTACCAGATTCTGTGTTGGACCTCAGAGCTCCTGACACGTAGTATTCACTATACATGACTCATATGCGCCAGTCATCATCATTGGTCCAGATTTTACCCTTAGTCTTCATTTTTTGTTTAATACAGTCATTCACAAATAAAAAAATTAATTTGTGTAAATCACAAAGATCTAAGTAGTTTCTGGAAAATTCCTAAAATATGTCTCCTAACAGACTCAATGTTTAATATACCAATTAATCAACATCATGCTTCATACCAACACCACCTTCATTGTCAGGCTATGGTTGGCCTTCCATCATTATATTTCATAGATTTTTTTTTGGCTGCATAGCATGTGGGATCATAGTTCCCTGAAAAGGGATTGAACCCATATCCCCTGCAGCGGAAGCATGAAATTTCAACCACTGGACTGCCAGGGAAGTTCCAAGTCTTTAAACAGTGAATACCATTAGCTACCTCAACAAGAAATTTAACTATTACTTACACTGGTTCCCACACATAGATGCAGCCATAAATTTTTTGATCACAGGAATCATGGGAAACTTGAACAGCAGTGAGAACCCACCCTGAGGAGTACAAAGCATAGCAGATGATAAAATAATTCAGGCCTATGTCTAATGATCACTGCTTCCACATTTCATTTCCTTAGTCATTTAAATATATACTAATTGATCTTAATAATTCTGCCTCATGTCCTAAAGAAAGAACAACTCTGAACTCACTACTGTCACAGAGCATTAACAGTGACTATATATCATCTCTGCCTATGCATAAGATAGCTAGCTAAAGAGGTAATACCCTTGATCCAATTATTTCTTAAAAAATACTCATACTTCCAAATTAAATTAATAGTATTTGTTGTCTCATCTCCCATAATTGAGCGAAACCTTACTCTCTTCATCTTTATTTACTCAAGTAATTGAATGGATTTGTTATTGATTTTTTTTGTAATAATAACGCCATTAAAATTCATGAACCACTAAGGTCCAAGAACTTTGTCCAGGACTAAGTCCTAGGACTAGCATTCCTAGCCTGCCTCGGGATCACATCCACCAGAGACAATAGACCAGACCTCTTTCTATATAGTACAACTCAGTGCCAGATGCAGGTCATCCATCACCCCTGATTCATACCCTACCAGCTGTCCTTTGTTGGTCCACGATTTGCCCTCGTTCTCCTCATTCATTTGCACACTTGTCGATTTTTAATTTTTAATTGACTAATGTTAATAAAAAAATTTACATGAAGCACAAAACCTTAAAAACAAGAGCCTCAAGTATTCTTAACATCTGTACATACAATAATTTCCCTCAGCAATTCTCTCTTCCATTAATCAGTCTAGGTTTGCACCTACTCATTAAGAACCCTGTGTGACATATGAATTCCATAATGGGCCACAGCTAACTTCTTAGATTATACTTAATGCATGTTTTTAACAAAACAGTGAATATTCTTAAACAAGACAGCCCCACCAGGGTAAGAGCTTGGCCTATTACTCACATTTGTCTCTTTGCTCCTAATACAGAATTCACTGCCGTGGCAGAAGGCTTACATTAGTTCAGTTCATTCTGAGTATACGCAATGCAGATAAGAAAATCTTGAAACATTCACCCCATTAATACATGCTTTTCTCATGGCATTTTCTCAGCCATTTATGTATTTATTATTTATGGTGATTTATTTCTTTTTTTCTAAAGTAAACTACTTGAACTCAAACTCAGACTCAAAGCAAGAACAGAATAATATGTTTCCCTGCCTCTATCATTCTTCCCCAAACTGTAACCTCCTGACCCATTTATTACTTAGTGAGAACCTCCTTAATGAGGGTAGAAGTTATATTAATAGCAATTCATGCCTCACCACATATTTTCATATTTGGATATGCTTCACCTTTTTCATTTTATACACTGACATATTTGTTTATTCTTCCGTTTAATTATTTAAGATAATAAAATCCAAATTCATTAAGTACCAAAGACTGAGAATACAATCCCTGAACATTACTGAAGTCTACCCCTTTCCACAGATGTAAACATAATTTTTTTGTCATGGACCTCAGTAGTTTGTAGATGTTTTGATCATAAAAAATATTTCAAAATGCATTCCATTCCCATCATTGGTCCACGGTGGGCCTGTTTTTCATAGTGTGAACACATTGTGCGTGTCTGACTCTTTGTGACCCTACGGACTGTAGCCCGCTAGGCTCCTCTGCCCATGGGATTCTCCAGGCAAGAATACTGGAGTGGGCTGCCATGCCCTCTTCCAGGGGATCTTCCTTACCCAGGGATTGAACCCACGTCTCCTGCGTCTCCTGCACAGCAGAGATTCTTTACCGCTGAGCCACCGAGGAAGCCCATGAACCCGATATCAGAACTAAACTATTGACTAGTATTATACTTACATCTCCAATGTGCTCTTCCTCATGATGAAAATATCTTACATTGCTATCAACTAAGGAATGTTTGGGAAAAACCTAAAACAAAAATTTAAAGAGCTATAAAAATGGATGACAGGGACTCAAACTGTTTTTAAAATCATCCCAAATGATCAAATTTATCATAATCAAGTTAATCATAAATTTTCATTTCTCATCATTCATACAGATCTGTCCTTATTCGATTTTGTTCATCTATATAGTCATATACTCATTTCTTAAACATACGGCAGCCTAGAGATCTTGGTCTTTTCAGTCCAGGTGCATCCATTTAGTGGTCTGTAAAGATGATGTTAAAAGAATGAGACATTTTCTCCATGAGTGCATCCTCAGTCATATCTGACTCTTTGCAACCCCACTGACAGTAGCCTGCCAGGCACCCCTGTCCACGGGATTTTCCAGGCAAGAATACTGGAGTGGTTGCCATTTCGTACTCCAGGGGATCTTCCCAACCCAGGGATTGAACCCACATCTCCTGTGTCTCCTGTAGGTGGATTCTTTACCACGTGAGCCACACGAACATACAGCAAGACCACTACTCTAGAAACATTACTTCCTGATAGGCAGGATTAGCAGAACTTGGGAACATATTGGGAAGGCAGATTAGTGGAACCCACACTAATTGTATTAAGTCAGAAATGCTGACACTGGGACCAGCAATCTGTCATCTAAGAAGCCCTTTGGGTGATTCTGATCAACTGTGAGAACACTGCTGTACATTAACTGAACAGAGAGGTAACACCCTTGATCTACTGGTTTCTTAATGTAATGCTGCACTTCAGAACTATTTGAACAAAAATTTCTATCTATCCATCTACCTATTGATTCTTTAATTTATTCCCATAGACTACTGTAACAAGTCCCCAGGATCTATCTAAACCCCAGAATTAGGTTCTTGAAAATTACAGAAATCTAACTAAAGACTTATTCCCACGGATAATAATATCAAATCTCCTTTTGAAATGAACTTCAATGATGCAGAAATGAATTAATCACAAGACATATTCAGAAAGCATTCCATTCACATCATAGGTTCCTGCTTGACTCTTTCTCATTTAAATTCTACATTCTTTAAAGATGTAAAAAAGAACCACCATGGACCCACTATCCACTCCACATTCAAACACTGTAAATGTTTTACATTTTCCTGCAGGTTGCTTCACTAAATTAATAGCTTAGATTTTTTCTACAAAGGAATGCTTATAAACTGTGGTGCAAACCTAATCTGGAATAATAAGTAGCTGTGAAATAGAATGTAAAAGCCTCAAACTTTTAGAAAATTATATTGAATTCAACGACTTCATAAAACTTGCCACACTGTGTATCTTCAGCATATATCCACATTTGGTCTTCTCTGACTTTACTTGTTGGTAGCTATTTATTATTAATTTTAATTTTCATCTGTCCATTCTTTAATTCATGAAGTAATTTGACAAACTATTCATATTTTTAAATAAAATGAAAAATGGCAATAGTGTGGGTGCATACCAAGCTCACTTCATTTGTGTCCAAGTCTTTGCAGCTCTTTGCCACCCTATGGATCATCCCCCACCAGACTACTCTGTCCATAGGATTCTCCAGGGAAGAGTACTGGAGTGCATTGCCATGCCCTCCTCCAGGTGTGATCCTTCTGATCAAGGGATCGAAACAGTGTCTCTTATGTCTCCTGTATTGGCAGATGAGTTGGGCATTCCTCTTTATCTATTCGCTTCTATTTTATTCTACCATCAGTCCATTAGTAATAATAAATCTTAATCTAGGATATCAAAATAAGAACATGATTCTTGATATATTTCTAACATTCATCTACCAGATCATTTCCAAAACAGAGATTCAACTAACTACCTTTTGTGTTGGGAGTAACAGACACATAGTACTCATTGTCTATAATTCATTTGCCACCAGTTGACATCATGGGTCTATGTTTGAGTCTCTTTTCCTTCATTCATTTCTACTTCTGTATCAACAAAATTAAATTATTTCATTGATAATGATAGTATTTCATTATAGTATTTCAACATAGTATTTCATTATCAGTTAATTGATATAATGTTTCCAATGATTTGGACATAGTCTATTTTCATTATATTATTTTTTATTATTACTGTTAAATCCTTAAACAAATAAACAAAGACAAGAACTTTAACTTTTACTCACCTTTGTTGCCCTCCTGACAGAGGCAACATGATGATCCTAATCAGAGCAGAAGCTGAGATCAGCTTGTAGGATCCATTCTGGAAAGTACCAAGCAGAGAAGATGATAAAAAATGGAGACATTCTCTCCATGTATTCACTTTTTCCACCAAAGAGTCATTTAGGTATTTACTGATTAATGGTAAGATTTCTTTATTTTTCACGTAAAACAAATGAAGCATCAAAGTTATACCTGAATCAGAGTAGAAACTACTACTTATTGTCTGCATCATCCTTGGATAAAGATATAATACACTTGATCCATCTAATATCAACTTCAATTTTATTAGTATTCTTTTCATGACTATATATTCCAAGAATGAACAATATTTCAGCCTCTTCATCTTTACTTAAATATCTGTTTATTTATTCTGCCATTTATTCTTTTAGAGGAAGATTTTGTAAAAATTCACGGACACAAAGACCAAGAACAGTATCTTTGTATTGAAAATATTCCTGACATATGTCAATAGAATCAGTAGACTCAACAGAGGGACTGGGCTAGATTTCCTTGTGCTGGACCTCAGAGTTTCAGACACATGAGTACTCATCGTGTATGTGACTCATACTCCACGAGTCTTCATCATTGGTCCAACTATGGAACTCTTTCTTCATTCTCATATATAGTTACTGATCAATTCACCAATTCACTAATAATAGTAAAATAAATATCTGTGAATCACAAATACTCAAGGAAAAGATCCTCAATATCTCTAATATCTATCTACACAGTCATTTGTCACATGGAATATACTTATTTCATTGATCATCTTCATTGATATCAACACCAATTAAGCAACATAATATCTCATGTCACTTCTGTATTCATCTATAAACCATGGCTACTCTTCTCTGAATATGCTGAATGCTATTTTTATTATCACAGTGAATAAACAAACACCCAAACCGAGAGAATGTGACAATTACTTACATGACCCACATGTATTTATACACAGGACAACCAGCAGAGTTCCTGATCACAGTTAAATGCTTAATCAGTTCAGGTGCATCCATTCTGAGGAATACAAATCAAAGCAGATGATAACAAAATTGAAGGACACTATACTAATTTTAATTTTCACATCGTTGCTTAGGAATATAGTACATTGGGATCATATTTATTAATTCATTCTTAATAAACAAAACAAGGTCAAGCTTGACACAGACCAAGAATAAGAACAATTACTGTTATTTACTGTCTGTATCATTCTCAGCCACAGAGGTCAAGGGCATGGACTTAACGGACTTCAGTATTATCAATCAATATTAAGAGTTTTTATTGACTCACCACATATATTAAGAGTGAATATAATTCAACATCTTCATTGTAACTTATTTACACTTGTACATTGATTTTTTTCTTTGGGCTATTTTTCATAGTAAGATAAAAAATTGACAAACACAAGCCAAGAAAATTATTCTTTTGTTTTCCTAACATTTGTCTGTAATAGTATGCCAAATGGAAGCAGCAGATTATATTTCATTTTTATTGGACCTCAGGCTTCTCTTGTGGCTCAGCTGGTAAAGAATCTGCCTGAAATATGGGAGACCTGAGTTCAATCCCTAGGTTGGGAAGATCCCGAAGAGAAGGGAAAGGCTACCCACACCAGTATTCTGGCCTGGAGAATACCATGGACTGTACAGTTTAAGGGGTTGCAAAGAGTTGGGCACAACTGAGTGACTTTCATTCTCACTCTTTTTGGACCTCAGAGTTTCAGGCACATAGTATTCACCATCCACGACTCATACGCCATCAGTCATCATCACTGGTCCACGTATGGGCCTCTAGTTCCTCATTCTTATCGGCATAAGTCCATTGATTGATTCATTAATTGACCAATATTATTACGTTTCACACTTGTATAATACAGTGATACATGAGAAAAAAGTTCTCAAAGATTTAAATATTAATTATTGTATTACTCACATCAGTCTATAGAGCCCAAGACCATGGAAGATACTTCAACCCACTGGTGTGCGTCCATCCTAAGGAGTACAGAGCAGACAAGTCGAAAACAAAATTGAGACTTTCTCTGAATTGGTCTTTGTTTCCTTCATTTTGTTTACACAGTTATGAGAGTATTATTTTTCATAATTTATACTTATATATTAAGTTTACATATAAAGGTAACAATGTGATCCTTAGAAAAACGATTCTAACATCTTTCCATAAGATCACTTCAGGTAGAGGCAGCAGACTTTGGACCTCAGAGTTTCAGACACAAAGTGGTCACCGTCCACGACTCATACTCCACCAACGGTCATCACTGGTCCAGATCTGAGCCCGCTTCTTCATTCTCATGGACATTTTCCATGATTGGTGCTTTGAATTATATTCTACAAAAACTCATTAAATACAAGAACTTGAAACTTTACTCACATTCTTCTCTAGGCTCTCAATACACAAAGGAAACCATGGAAAATGCATATATATCCGCTTGAGTGCACTGATTCTGGGAGGCAAAAGGAAAAGTAAATAATGAAAAATCTAAATCTTTTCTCATTCAGTGTTTGTTGTAATCATTCATTTTTTTCATTTGCTCAGGTAACTATTAACTCTTCTAAACATATGTACATTTGATCTATATATAAATTTATAACATTACAAAGTTAACATTCTCTACTTGAGACAGGCCCAGGCTTATCAAACTGGGAACTACTTATCAATGTCATTGTCTGCAAGACCCTTAAAAATGGGGGTAACATCACTGGTCCATTTATTTCTCAACATGCATCAGTTTTCTCAGTTTATATTATTTCTTGCCTCACAAAGTACATTCATGGGTGGACAAGGCATCAGTATCACCATTATTTATTTGCATTTCATTTATTAGTTCTGTCATTGATTCATTTATATTAATAATATAGAAATCTATGAATTCAAAATTACAAGAAGAATATAATTATATATTCCAAACATCAATCTATAGGCTCATTGATGAGAAAGGAAACAGTTCAGATTTTTGTGTGTTGGACTCCCGACTTCCAGACATGTGGCATGTGACTCTTATGCCACATTGACCTGAAGTTAGGTTTCATTCTCTCATTCTCCTCTACATTTCTGTATACATTAATTCATCAATATACTAATTAAAATTAAATAAATATACATGAATCACAGAAACAAAAGGACAAGAGCCTCAGTATCATTCTTCTTTAGAATCATTGCCTAATTGAATATAGCTCTTTCATTAGTCACTATTGTAAAAACAGATTAAACAACATTCTGTTTCACACATTTCCATTTGAATTGCTGGACCGTAGTTGGTCTCTTTCCTTATACTTAATACAATTTAAATAATTACAGGGAAACCCTCAACACATCACCCCAACCAAGCACAAGCTTTGATCACTACTCACAGAGGGCTTGACACTCCTATAGTGACGGCTCCATGAACGTGTGAGTTCTGCGTCCTCTTTCTGAGAAGGACAAAGCACAACATATAACACAATCAATACATTAAATCCATTATTGTGTGCACTCTGCCTTACATTTAGCCTACCAATTACTAATATACTAATTTGGGACAATACTTACAAATTTCCTTTTTAAAAAATGAGTAATATTGAACTGGCTATGGACCCAGAATAAGAACATCTCTATTAACATGAGCCAAAGAAGTAAGGCACTCAAACCACTTGTTTTTCTTAATGGAATTCAGTATCCTCAATACATTTTAGTAGTTTTTATTGCCTCACCACATATCTCATGCTGTTAATCTTTACTTTTTGATATTTATACATTGATTCTTCATTAATTATCCACTTATAAGAAGAATCAAAATACATGAAAATAATCTAAGAAAACAGTCCGTTTAGATTCCTACAATCAGCCTATAGGATCATTTCAAAAAGAGGCAATAGACTGTATGTCTTTTTAGTAGACCTCAGATTCCAGAATGAAGTTGTCACCGTCCATGACTCATACTCCACCAACGGTCATCATCGATCCACATTTCAGCCTCTTTTTGTGCACTCTCCTGTACATTAATTCCTTATTCATAAATAATAGTTTTTAAAACCCTACAATTAAACATACATACAAAACCAAAGAGTAAGAAACTTGAATACTCTATATCTGTCCTTAGAATCATTTATCACATGATCTGTTTCATTAATTAGTCTACTCTAAATTTTAATTGAAAAAATGCTTGGGAATAATCTCATATTTATCACTGGCCAATAAATATACTTTTTAAAAAGCTATCAAATGAAGACATGAACTTAACTACTCACATGGGCCTCTATACACCAGAGACATGGAGGCAACTAAAGAGCATGTCCGTGAAAGAACTTTTCAATCAGCTCAACTGGTCCATTCTGAGAAACACAAAGCAGAGCAGATGGTTCAATAATAATGAGACCTTGTCTGAACCGATTTCCTTTCCATATTTTATTTATTTAAAGCACCTTGGTAGTCATTAATTTTTCATACTTTAATTTGTTCTTAACAAAAGGAATAACCTCAAATTTAAGATTGACATAGAAAATAAAACTGACTCTAATTTTCAGAAAATAAAACTGACTCTTGGTGATCCTTGATCAATTGATACCTGAGAGGCATCAGTGTTTTCAATTTCTATTAATAATAACTCTTGCCTCACCACGTGTCTTCACAGTGAGACAATGCCTCACTCTCTTTTATCTATTCCTTTAGTATTCTCCAGTGGTCCTTCATCTATTTATTTACACTCCTTTAACAGTTACATTATTGATCCATTAACAATAATAAATTTAATCAAAGAACTCAGGATAAGAATACAATCTCTGTATATTTCTAGTATCTGTCTCTACAAGATCATTTCCAACAAAGGGATTTGATTAATTATGTTTTGCGTTGGACCTCAGAGTTCCAGACACCCATATTGTTCACCATCTACAATTCACATGGCATCAATTGTCTTCATTCCTTCATGCTGACTCTCTTTTTCTTCATTCATTTCTACATTTGTATAAAATCAATCATTAATTCATTAGTAATAATAAAATGAACACAAAAGTCACACCATCCAAGAATAAGATCCCTCAATATCTTCAATATCTAGCTATAGAATTATTTCACACATGAACTGATGATCTTTCATTAACCAATGTCAATAGGGCATGATAGTAATTTAAAAATATGTTTCATAGCATATTCATCATTGGCCATAACTTCTTTATTTAATACTTCAAATAATTCAAGGAATAGATTTAAACAAATGACCAATCTAAGGTGACAAACTTGACCATCATTCACCTTTTTCTCCTTCTAATCCAGAGGCAATAGGGCAATCTTGATCACAGCAAAAGCTGAAATCAGCTGGAGCATCATTTCTGCATAGTACCAAGCAGACTCCGGTCATAAAAATTTGAGAGAGTCTATCCATTGAGCCCTACTTTCCACAATTCATGTACATAGTCATTTAAGTATTTATTAACTTATGTTAATATGCAATTGTGTGTCCCTTAACAAAACAAACATGAAACTTGCAACAGACTCAGATCAATAATAGGCTACAACTTATCAATGTCTATATCGTCCTTACTCAAAAATGCATAATACACTTGATCCACCAGTTATCCATTTTAATTCATATTAATGTCATTTCTCTTTACTACACATTTAAGTAAAGAACAATATTAACCCATCTTTAGTCATTCATTCATTTTTATTCATTTATATACTTTTTGATTCTGTCAGTAATACTGTTATAATAATTTTTTAAAAAACTTCATGAACCATGAATAATAAAACAAGGTCAATACATATTCATGACATCTGTCTATAGGGACACTCCCAACTAAGGAAATGAACTAGATTTCTTTCACTGGACCTCAGAGTTTCAGACACACAGTATTCATTGTATACGACTCATATGCCATCAGTCATCATCACTGGTCCAACCATCAGACCCTTCTTCTTTATTCTGATCTACTTTTGTTTACTGATCACTTTACTACTTCATTAATAATAATAAAATAAGCATCTATGAATCAAAAAACTGAAGGACAAATCCTTCAATATGACTAACTTGTGCCTATATTATCTTTGGGCTCATGGAATATATTTATTTCAATAATCATCTTCATTGCAGCAAATATTGACTAATCAACTTTATTCTCATCTGTATAAGTTCATCAATTAACTCATTATTACTAATGCTAATTATATGTCAAACTTTTCATAATACAGTGAATACAGAGAGAGAAAAAAGTTTTCAAAGACACAAATTTGCTTACTGCATTACTCACCTCAGTCTATAGAGCACATGACCATGGGAGATGCTGAAATCTGCTAATAGGCATCCATTCTGAGGAGTAAAAAGCAGAGGAGGTGATAGAAAATAATTAAGACTTTCTGTATATTGATTCTTATTTTCTTCACTTCATTTACTCAGTCACGAAGGTATATACATTTTCCATGGTTTACATATCTATAAGCATAAATAGAAATAAAATGATAAGATCCTTAGACAAAGAGCTAACACCTTTGGTCCATATATTTCTTTATGTGCATCAGTTTCTCTAATTTAGATTAATAGTATTTCTGGCCCAACAAAATACACTACAGTTGATAAGGCTTCATTCTTGATTTTAGTTATATTTTGTTTATTGGTTCTATCATTGATCAATTTATATTAATAATATAGAAATTCATGAATCCAAAATTAAAATTATAATATTGTTGTTTACTCCTAACACTGATCCATAGAATAACTGGCAACAGAGGAGACAGATTTTGTTTTGTGTTGAATCTGTGACTTCCAGTCACAAAGGACTCACCATATATAATTCACACGCCATCAGACATCATCACTGATCCAGGTTTGGACCTCTTTTTATTCCTCCCATCTACTTCTGTTTAGTGATTAGTTCATTACTTTACTAATCATAATTAAATAAATATCTGAGTCACAAAAGCTCAGGGACAAGAGCCTTCAGTAGCTTCCTCATTTTTCTTTACAATCACTGCTTAATTGAGTATACTTCTTTCATTAATCACCCTCATTATTCTAAAGATAGATTAATCAACCCAGTGTTTCATACATTTCCAATTTAATCACTAGACCATGGTTAGTATTTTTTTACCCAGAATACATTTTTTAATGTTTCAAAGAATAAACTAAACAAATCGCCAAAAGTAAAATAAGAACACTATTATGTTGGTTTCCCCGTATAGGCAAATTTAGAGACTGTTGACCAAGGCATATGCTTAAATCAGTTGCAATAGGTCCATTCCAAAACACAGAAAGCAGAGTAGATGATAACATGATTGAGATGCTTTCTTTATTAATCTCTGGATCTACATTTCACTATTCAGTGATTATGCTATATATTACCAGGGTTAATATATAACTCTTTCCTAAGAAAACAAACCACACTGAACATTCTACTAATGCAGAACAAATACTGGCCATTATTTATATTATCTATAACATCTAGCTAGAGGAAATGTCCTTGAACCATTTATTTTTTAATTAACTTACTGTTTATTTATTAATATTATCTTTAGTCTTACATGCTCAGTCGCTCAGTTGTATCTGATTCTTTGCGACCCCATGAACTTTAGCCCACCACACACACACACACACACACACACACACACACACACAATTGCACTCATCTCACATGCTAGTAAAGTAATGCTCAAAATTCTCCAAGCCAGGCTTCAGCAATATGTGAACCGTGAACTTCCAGATGTTCAAGCTGGTTTTAGAAAAGGCAGAGGAACCAGAGATCAAATTGCCAACATCTGCTGGATCATTGAAAAAGCAAGAGAGTTCCAGAAAAACATCTATTTCTGCTTTATTGACTATGCCAAAGCCTTTGACTGTGTGGATCACAATAAACTGTGGAAAATTCTGAAAGAGATGGGAATACCAGACCACCTG